GCTACCACTAAGTTTAAAACGTCTTCTACACAGAATGAGAAATTTGTTCAAATTTTAATGGGTTTATTTATGGGTTAAAAAGTATAGCTCTTGTATTACCTAATCGAAATATTAAAAAAAATTTTGGCACAAGCAATCCTCAGTGGAATTAAATCGTGATGTTACGTTTATTTAAGGGCACTAAGTTTAAAAATGATTTCGTAAAAAAGTATAGGGTTGTATCTAACTTTTTTGTCTTCATTTAAGGGTTGAAAGGTATAAATTTAGTAGCAATCGCAATATTTAAAAAATGAGAAAAGGGTTTTGCCTTAAGGCGAGTAACTATAACACATTTTCCATAAATTTACCAGTACTTCCCGAAAGGTAATGTAACGGACTTTGTATGTGTACAAATGAAGATAAGTTATGAGATAAGTATTCTTATAAATAAGAAACTTAGCATTGCGCACACCTGATGTTTAAAATATGCGACATGTTTGTCTTTATTAGAAAACTCTGCTAAAAATTTCAAGAAAGTATCTCTACAAATAACACAGTTGAAATTTCGCGCACATTTGATTTGTTTAAGATGCTGGTGTTTATTAGAAGCATCTATGCTTAAAATTTCAAGAAAGTATCTCTACAAATAAAACAGTTGACATTTTGCAATTTGGGCATGCGCACATTTGATTTGTTTAATATGCCGGTCTTTATTAGAAGAATTGAAAAATATGCGATATGCTTGTCTTTACTAGAGGCATATGTGGTTAAAATTTCCAAAAAAAATCTCCATAAATAAAAAGGATGGTATTGTGCAGTTAAATGTAATCGACATTTGGCGAAGGTCAATCAAACATTTTATTTTTTCGATAGTATCTCAAACAAATTATTTGAGTGTGGAAGAGGCCTTAACCTGTGCCTCAATTCAAAACTTAACCTCCGGCGCGATTTAGTTTCTCTCCAAAAAAATTCGGAAAATTCTCAAATTTTGAGGAAAAAAGGTTATAACAGCGAAATCGTTAAAGTTAAGGGCATATTTAAACATATTAAGTACATAAAAAAATAAGTACTTTGCAAGTACGTACTTTCCAATATCGGGTGTTCCATAAAAAAAACGTAAGTTTTTACGCTACTGGAATACAGTACGCCCCTGATGATCAACAATATTTTAGAAATATGGCGACGGTAATTGTGTACAATTTTGCTTTAGACTTTTTTCGATATCCTCGTCGGTATCTTTTATGGTAAAGGAATTATGATCCGATGGATTTTAGGTGTCACACCCTGTACGGGCGCGGAAAAGTAAAATTTTGTGCACAAACAACCCTCACTGGAATTAAACTACAAAGTTTAAAAATTATTTCGGGAAAAAAAAGGCTGTGCCCAATTTTTATGTTGTTTATGTAAGGGTTGAAAGGTATAGATTCAATAGCAATCGCGATATTTAGAAGTGTAAAAAATGCAACCCTCAGTTAAACTAAACCTCGAACTAAACCACTCCTACGTTGATAATAGGAAAATGACTTTATTTCAAGAGAAATGGAGGGTTGTGCAAAAATTTTATTGGCATCATTTAAGGGTTGCAAAGCATAGATTTTATATCAATCGCAAAACTTTAAAAATAAGATTCCAAACAACCCTTAGGCGGACTAATCCACACCTGCTACGATTATGTAAGGAAAACGGCTACCATCAAAGTTTAAAGATTATTGTTCAGAAAAAATAAAGCTATGTGAATAAATTTGACTTTATATGAGGGATGAAAAGTATCACTCGCAATATTTTGTGCACAAGCACCCCTCGGTTAAGGTAAACCGCCCCTGCTACCTTTATGAGGGCAACGACAAAGTTTAAGAATTATTTCAGAAAAAATCAAGGACGTGTATACATTTGATTGGTCTTCTTTAAGGGATGAAAAGTGTAGATTTAATATCACTCGCCATATTTCAAAAATATGGGCACAAGCAAGCCTTATTTGAGTTAAACCGCCCCCTGCTACGTTCATGAAACGAAAACGACAAAGTTTGAAAATTATCTCAGAAAAATGGAGGGTGGTTCACAAACTTTATTGGCTTTAAGGGCTGAAAACTGTAGATTTAATATCACTCGCCATATTTGAAGATTATGTTGCACAAGCAACCCTTAGTTGAGCTAAACCGCCCCATGCTACGTTCATGAAACGAAAACGACAAAGTTTGAAAATTATTTCAGAAAAATGGAGGGTGGTTCACAAAATTTATTGGCTTTATTTAAGGGCTGAAAAGTGTAGATTTAATATCACTCGCCATATTTGAAAAGTATGTGCACAAGCAACCCTTAGTTGAGCTAAACCGCCCCCTGCTACGTTCATGAAACGAAAACGGTAAAGTTTGAAAATTATTTCAGAAAAATGGAGGGTGGTGCACAAAATTTATTAGCTTTATTTAAGGGCTGAAAAGTGTAGATTTAATATCACTCGCCATATTTGAAAATTATGTGCACAAGCAACCCTTAGTTGAGCTAAACCGCCCCCTGCTACGTTTATGAAATGAAAACGACAAAGTTTGAAAATTCTTTCAGAAAATGGAGGGTGGTGCAAAAAATTTATTGGCTTTATTTAAGGGCTGTAAAGTGTAGATTTAATATAACTCGCCATATTTGAAAATTATTTACACAAGCAACCCTTAGTTGAGCTAAATCGCCCCGTGCTACGTTCATGAAACGAAAACGACAAAAAATGTTCTCTTGCAACCCTGAGTTCCGGTTGTTAAATTGCGTTTTTAAAGGGATGGCCAGCCCTCCTTAAGAAAACAAATTGTGAGGTTACTTTAGTTCCCCGGTTTACAAATTTGAGACGAATTTGAAAGGTTAACTTTTTGGAAAGTGATTTCGTGGTGCACCCTGATGTGGAAAAACTCCACGAAGGTTGGATACCTAAGTTTCCCTATGCCGAACGATCCAAAAACCACTTTCATATGAATTTAATTGTGACCCAGGTTCCAAAATATTTTGCATAACGAAACCCTACGGGATTTTTAGATTGTTAAATAAAAAAAAAAGGTCGTTTTAGCTACAATAAATAAATGCTAAACAGAAAACGCTTACCTACCGATTAATTTTCCTTGGAGAAGACCGAATGGACGCTTGCACCATCAAGTACCCGATCCACGGGGTTGGTTTTTAGCGGGATGTATTAATTTTAGAAGGGTGCAAACGCGTAAAGAACACCAGCAAAGAGCACTACAATGCACAAATTTACCATTCAATTTGCCGTTTTTGACTAATTTGGAAAGGAATAAATCGAATGGTTCCGGCGATAAGAAAACAGGTGTGCGTCGTTTCGCGCGTCTCGTCCTTGTTTAATTGGGCCGTATTGAGTAGATTGAATAAAGAACGACTAATTTGGTAAACTTTTGAAATAGGTGTTGTTTTTAATGTATAACCGAATCATGTGATTTTTCACTATCTCTTTTTAACTTGAACGTCGACTTCAACTATTTTATTTACTCTCCCAATTTTCGTTCGATATGACACCACGGAAAATCTTTGAATGAACATTTGAAATTATTAAAAAAAAGCCAGTGTTAATGGGAATTTAGTAGGTAATTAGGACCGCTGTATTAAAAAACACCAAGCCTGCAATAAAAAGGCTTGCCCTTTCCGTGTTTTCTGAAGACTTTTTACTTGTTTGGCATATACATACACCCCAAATGGGGAAGTACGTAAATCATGATCATCAGAAATCGTTATGAAACTGCTGGAAATCATTACAAAATCATTTACACGCGACGCATGTTCCAAAAAAAACTAGGAACATTTTGCAAAATTTCAGTAAAAAAGATGTACCTACAGTGTGGTCCAAATTCGACGGGTAACTTTCTTATTAGCGCAGATAAATGAAAACGGATTAGGTACTCGTGACCTCTTTTTTCATGCTTATTCGATTACCGTTGTCAGAAATAAGTTGCTGTCTTTTGTTTTTTCCCTAGAGGGAAAAACTGAAAAATGGCCGATTCTTTCAATTTGCTCTAACTGCTTTATTTTTGCAACTAGAACAAAATTCAGGCACTTTTTAACGTAAAAATCAATGCCGTCAGTCGTTTGTTTCTAGCCCTTTTAGTAACTAATGCGCTGTAACCCAAAGTTGATTTTTTAAATGGAAATTATAGTTGGCCATGGTTTTTAAAGCATTGCTTGTTTTACGAGCTTTCCGAAAATTTATAATGTATCATAAGTACTTATGTTCTCTACAATAAATGTTGTTTATTAATACATCTTGTCTGAAAATAAAGAGCAAAAAGAATAGTCCGCCATGAAAAACACTTTACAGCTGCAGTTTGTTTTTTTGGAAAAGTCGCAATAGATTTGTCTGCATTCTTTGGCTTATTTTATGACTAAAAGTTCATATTACAAACATACGTCCACAAACGCTTCGTTTCCGATTTACAGGGTGTTATAATTTCACCGGACATTTTACAATTTAAACCTTTAATTTATATGCAATTTGTTTTATTTTGATGTAAGGTATCTAGATTAATATTATTGATTTGATTATAAGTTTTTTTGAAAAATTTTCTTGTATTAGGGTGCTAACATGTTACATTATCGAAAATAGAAAAAAAATCTCTATCAAATGAGCCTAATGAAAAGGTGCACTCCCATTTAGAAAAAATCATTCTTTTTTCTTCACTCATTTGTTTTCTCAAATAAAAACTGGAGAACGCTGCTTTATTATGGGAAATAAAATGTTAAAAAAATGCTAAAAATAAGAAACGCTGATGCATTCGTTTGTTTCAGCGCCCTCCAAAGTTATACCAAAAAGAAAAGGGATCAAAGAAGCAGAAATAATGATGATTTCTTGACCTTTCAAAGGTAATCAAAAAGTATTGAAAACCATAAATGAATTTACAGAAGTGCTGAAAGCTACTGTCGGTGACATCTATCAGAAACTAGCTGAACTAATATACAGGAAAACGGGAAAACCTACTGCTCCCTTTTTGTATTAAAGAGACCTTAGTTCAACAATGGAGAGTAGCCCTCTATGTTTTAATTGTAGCCGGAGGGCGCTAATCATTATAAAGTCACCTTCTACCGGCCGGATCGATCTTTAGAGTCTAGCGCTAGCCTAGATAAGACAGTGGTGGTGATTTTGTGTTTTGTGCGTGTAAGTAGTCGTATTTAAATCGGTTTTTTTTAATTTTTGGATAGTGGAAAAAATTGTGTTGAGTTACAACGTCTTTTGATGATCCTTAGCAAATGAGGTCACGCATCAGGGATGCACGACCCTTCATTTACCTACGTTATGTAACCCTTTGCTATTATTTTGCAATTGAACCAATTTTAACCTTGCTGAATTACATAATTGTTCCCAATGACCTACGGTCGCAATTTTTGCGGTAAAGTGACGTTCGCACGTGGACAAAAAGCACTTCTGACCAAAGGAATCCAAGTGATTCACTGTGGAGGGAATCTTAGGAAAAAACCACGTGCGCAGCATCACACGTTGCATAATCTTAGGCGCGAATTCTCACGTGAGAATATTTCCACAGCCTTCTCAAATCTAGTTTGATTTCAGAACGTACTAGACGAAAAATGGCCGTACCAGACGGAGATGCACAGAAAGGAATGAAGCTGTTCAAGACGAGATGCGAACAGTGCCACACAGTCGAGAAGGGAGGCAAACACAAAACCGGGCCCAATCTACACGGGCTAATTGGGAGGAAAACCGGACAGGCGCCCGGATTCTCTTACACAGACGCGAACAAAGCCAAAGGTAAGCTAACCGCCTAAGCACAACCAATACATCAAGTCACGTTTTACAGGAATTGTATGGAATAAGGACACGCTATTCGTATACTTAGAGAATCCCAAAGCGTATATACCCGGAACAAAGATGGTGTTCGCAGGCCTCAAGAAGAAAAACGATCGTGCGGATCTCATCGCGTACCTAATGGAGGCGACGAAATAATCGCACTACAGTTTACGGAACTAAAAATAGCGCTGCCATTAATTTATTGCGAGATTTGCGAAGAATCTTCTAGGTTAAGTAAAGGAATTATTAATTTTAAGAAAGGTAGTTCTGTTTTGCGTTCTGTAATATGTAATTGACGGTAGTATTCGTTGGAGCTGTTACCTTATCGATAAACGAACACTAGGGATTCTTTTAGCCAATTTTGAAATTACCTGTTGTCGAACCAAAAGTATTTATGGACATGTTATCATTTGAAATATAAACACTTTAAAGATTCACCTTTTTATTTTGTTATTAATTGGGTGTCGTAGATGGTTGTTGAGGCGGGGGTACGTATCCGATGCGATTGTAAATTTCTTGTTTACTTTTGGGACCTGGTTGCCATGCGGGAGGGTCGTTGAAAGGCAAACGCTTCGGTTGCTCCTTACTGGCCTCTTGTTCTCTTCGTACCACCTCATATTCGATAACGTCGTCCAGCTTGAGCTCGATGCTTGTTGGGGGTCGCCGTAACATCGCGAACTGAAACAACTACTTTTAGGGATAATCCTGGGGGTGATAATTAACTTACCGTCACAGTTTTCCTAATTATAACTAAATTAAATTGCTAAGTAAAATGAAAAGATTGCTGGAAAAGTGAGGTTAAGCTTCCATTTTAAAACTCTACAGGGTTGTCAGATCCAGGAATCCAGTGGCGTAACAACCGTTACAAGGGTCCTACAATGAATTTGCGCAAGCTTTGTGAAATTGGAATGTAGTGAATATCATTAGAATGAACATGGTTCTTTGTTCCTCATAGATTGTACATATTATGAATGCCCTAATTTAATTCACATACAGAAATGAAAATATCAAAGGAACTTTTTGTATATGTACCCACTAAAATTTACAATTTGCAAATAAAACCAAGAACTGTCTTCCTCTTACGAAAAATGGGGCATGACATATTCGTTAGGAAGGGACGATTCGATAATCCTATATGAAAAACTACATATAAGGAGTATCTTTAGGCCTGAACGTTTTGGGGGGATCTGGAATTTAAGGAGCATTACCGCCCTCGGTGCTCCGTCCTCCTTACTGCAGACTAACTAAACATTGTTTGTGTGTAGTCTTTTCATAAACCCCTCATAGACGCATGGCTCTTATCGGGGCGCAATTGCTACATTGGTTGTGGCGAACCAGCTCTTACACATGACGTCGGGAGAGCGTCTTGCTGTGCTGGAGGTTTGCCTGTAGCACAGATTTCTGTGCCTGTAGGAATGTCGCATATGTATGTTTCCCCGGTTGACCCCCAGGCACATCGGCTCCCTGGGTCGACGCTGGCGTCACTGGTTGGGGGGGGGAGCCTGCGTCCTGCTCTCTCTTTAGCACTCGCCGTTCCTTAGTGTTGAAACTGGTAAGTAGGCGTTTATAATATTCCCCTGCGGTGGCTTGATCAGCGCAGTTGACCAGCAACCAGCCTGATTGTAATTTGAACGTAGAACTTAGGAATTGAGGACACACCGTTCCTCCGTCAAGGTTTCTATAATGGTTTGAAAGATTCCCTCTTGAAGTGCTTCAAGCTTTTCTGTAGTGAGGTTCTCCCCCGGGCGTCTGCCATGCAGTATCCCTACCTATTTACCCTCTATACCTTGGTTATAGCAAAGAATACTTATTAGTTACTCTTTGGTTATAGATTATAGAAGGATTGACCGGGTACTGTGGAAACTGGAACCGCACACCCATTTGACCATGTCGTCCCCCTGCGTGACTGCTTCCTTGTCTGGGCAGCCTCGAGTTACCTTGTTCTCTCAGCCGCACATACGCTGCCGGACTGCTTGCTCGGCTACTTGGACCGGCCCTACACCGAGTTGGCTCAGCCAACGGTACCGTTTCCTTGCAGCACCGCTTGTCTTGGGGGGCCTGACTTTCAGATGAATTTTCGCCAAAGCCTCACCCAGCATACCTGGAGCCACATCTGGACTATTGAGGCAATTTCTGTCCCTTACTCTAGTGGAGCATTAATTGAGTCCTTGTGAGACCGAAATAGCTCCAAGTCTCATGGTAGAGGGCTCTGTTGAGGGGCGCCACCCTCTGGTATTTTATCGGATTCTTCCTTGCGAGTCCCACAAGTGGAGATAAGTCGGTTATTTACCGCAGAGCTCCATACGACAGGAAGGGTGTTTTTAAAACTGGAGTCCCTCTGAGCTCCAGAGTTCACTTACTAAATGCCGGTTCATTTACCCATCATCCAGCATTTGCCTGTAAGCATTCCATTTCCGCATTAACCCTGTGTCTTATGCGATCATCCACACGGTCATCCCCCTATCCGCCACTCGGGGACACGCCACCCTCCACATACAAGTTGACTACTGGGATCATTTTCCTAACTCTTGACGAGTAGGTACAATAATCTAACTTTTAAGTCGAAACGGCAGACGTTTCCCGGCACTTTATCATAAGCAAAATTACATAAATAGAAGAAATTGCCATTAGAAGACTCCCCTCCCCGTATTGCTGACGTACGGCCCGGCATATGACGAAAAAGGAAGAGATTACTGCATAATAAAGTTGACTGCATAGGATTGCTTTCTTCAGTAAATTTTCTGGTTCCGAAGTAGAACGGTCAACAACACCATCACGTTTACTGTATACAGAGCGTTTCTTATTTTTTCTCATATTGCCATTGTTTCAACTGTAAAGTGTGTTGCCTAACCATAGGGGTATGTCACCACAAGTTTTCGTTTACATCTCCTTCAATATCATAACCTTTTCAACTGCTTCGCGTCTCTCTCACACTTTACTTATGTCTTCATTACGCCACAACGTCGTTCTCCATTTAAATCTCCCCCTTCACATGCTCCTTGAGCCTCTTTTCTTCCCCCTAATTCTCCATTACATCTTATTAATATTCCTTTAATACTCTCACATCTTTTGCACGTTTTCTTCATATCTCATCTGTCTACGCCTCCTTCAAGTTAACCGCTCCATTTTTTGTTTACTTCTTTAGCATCCCGCCATGCCTGCTTAAAACTGTAATTGCGTCTTTTAAATGATTCATTCACGTCTCTTTAATTTTTCAATGAAGTTTTTTACATCCCCTTTCCATCTACTTCACGTCTTCATCAAGATATCGCCACGTACACATCATATCCTTTGCTATTCCCCCCCCCCCCCGCCTGACAGGTCTGCTTCAAATCCTCCTTACGAATAGTACACTTTCTTCTTACAGGTTCTTCGCGATTCTTTCATATCTCCTTTATGCCTCGCCGCTTTTAATATTTCCTAGTTATAAAATCAATATTTGTGAACCACTGAGGACTAAGGCAATTACGGGCACGCCCGAGAGTGTTCAATGCACTTCTAGAAGTTTCTATAATATTCCCCAGTCTTCTTCATAGTGCGAACAGTTAAGGGTATTTATGACCCTTCAAGTACTTGAGAGGGTTCATCAATAGAAGTCCTTGAAACTCTTTGTTCTCGAAGGGTTTTTAAATGCCTTTAGAAAATTCGAAGATTTTTTTAAAAGATCGTTAAGGCCTCCATGAGCCACTATAGAAGCTTTTCAATCATTTCAGTTTTTTAGCGTCCCCTAACGGTCCATTAAATCTTATGAGGGTTTTTACGGGTGTTTAAAGCTTTTTTATAATCTTTAAGGACATGTAGTATTTGAAACAGAATCGCTAAAACCAATTACGAGCTATAATAGTACCTATCTAAGGACATCAAGGACCTCTAAAAGTCTCTAAGCGTTAGAGGGTTTGAAAACCCCTAAGAGTTTCCACGAATCTCCTTTGAAAGCCTTATAAAAGCCTTTGAAAATTCTTAATAAGTACGTTAATATATTGTTTAAGAGATTTGTATTGAAGAGCATTTAAGAGCTTATTTTATAGATCCATAAAGGTTTTTGAATTTTTACGCGTCTCCAAGAATCTTTAATAGATTTTAAGGTCTGTACACATTTTACAAGGGCATCAAAGAGGACTTTAGAGCTTTACAGATGCCTTTGAAGCCTTCGAACTTTTTCTCTCCTAATTAAAAGCCGAGCCTTTAAGATCTCCGTGCTCGTTTGAGAGTTTTAACAGTCGTAAAGGGCCTGTAAAAGAATCATAATCGATTTAAAAACATTTAAAAACTATTTCTCAATATTTGAGAGTCTCCAAGGGTTTTCATAGGTATGTACTTTAATGGACATTCAAGACCTTCAAGATCGTTTATAGAGTCCATAGAGGTCCACAAGATCTTGTTAAGAGACTTTAAGAACAGAAGCTTTAATAAGTTTTGTTGATCCTTAAGGACGTTCAAAAGTACAAGAGTGCTCAATAATCTCAAACTTTCCCTCCCTCATTCATCTTCTCCCTTACGCATTTTTTCGTGAATGCATCGCGACTTTTATTTTAAATCTCCTTCACGCCTTCTTCAAGATACTTTCCGTTTGCATTATTTCCCTTTATTATGTGTGCTTTATTAACCCAACCATTTCCATTTAATCGTTTTTTTACATCCCGTCTTGCCTGCTTCAAGCCCCTCTCACGTCGTTTTTGCGCTTCCATTCATTTCTGCGTCTCTTTCGCCACTTCTACAGGCTTTATTTAAGCCACAAGGTCTTTGCGTCTCTTCAAGTCCACATTACGCCTTTTTCAAAGGTTTTTTACATTTGCTTTCTGTTCACCCCGTTCGTCCCTACACCTTTTCACGCTACTTTCTTCATGACTTCTTTTCGTCATGTTTCCTACGCCTACTACAAGCTAACCTTTGCAGTTTTTTTTACATCTTCAACCGCCGCATCCCGGTTTGCTTCAAATCTCAATCACGCTTCCTTCTTTTCCCCTTAGGTTTTCATGGCGTTCCTTACACCCCCTCATTTTTCATCACTCCCTCGTCTCGTTTACGCGTTTAGGATCTTTCCATTTCTTATTCTTATCTTTAGGATTCCACTTTGAGGTTTTCCGGACGAAAAACGCTTTCTCTACATCCTTGCTCAACCATTGTCTCTTTCACACCCTATTCACTTCTTTCCTTGCTTCGTCGCGGAATCTTGGAACTCTTCTACTGCATTTGCTTCGCCCCCTTCTACTTTACGATGCTTCGAACACCCATCGCGTCTCTTTCTAACATTTCCCACCTTTTCTCTGCAGAAGAGAGGCGCGATATATGCATATAAAATTGTAGTCGAGACGGAGACATTAATCTTTATTTTTTTAGTGGTAAAACGTAGAAAGGTACACAAAAAAGCCTAAAACTAATTTCACAGCGTAGGTGTTTCAAAAAATCAGAGATACCTATATACAACAAACAACATACACACTCGTACATAAGACACAACACAAACGTCCAATAAATTAGTTCGATTATATTAATTTTATATACATCACAATATAAAGGCTAGGACAGACAGCGCGATAACGCGGGCGACATTGTGGAATTTGGCAGAGTGCGAGTGGTACGATTTTTGTCTATAGCTGCACTGTATCGTCGTACCGTTCTCGGCGTAAGCGGTGAAGTTGGGGAAACGTTCCACTTTCTCCGCCTGCAAACAGTCGGGATTGCTAAGGGTGTAAGTGGTTGACGAGCTTACCATTGCCAACGTGTCGTCCCTCTTACGGCAGAAGGTGAGGTGCAACCCTGAGTAGAAGTACTCCTCAATCCGCCTGGTCAGCAGTGACTCGTTGTAGGGCAAGCTTTGTAGATGGGACATAAAGGTCTTGTTCTGAAATTCGAGAGGTTCTTTAATAACGAGCTGATCGAGCGGTCCCAGTCCTCCGCTCGTATCCCCCTCGGTGAACTCGCGTGCGTTCTTCAGGGCGATGATCGCCTTTTCGTTCGCCTCCAGTGAGTTTTCATCGCCCGGCTTGTACGGCGGAAATAATGACGTTGAAGGCACCTGCGGGGTAGCGGGTGTCTCCGGTCTGGAACAAGGTTTAGAATCGCGGAAGGTAAGGGGAAGCGCACACTTACAGTCCGTGCAAAAACATGTTTTCGATCAAGCTCATGTTCTTCTCGTAAAATTCCTTGACGCCCAAATTGTCGAAGAAGTACTTTATTGGCGGCATCGAGTAACATCCGGCTAGTTGAGTGCGCGGATAATGGAGAACGAAAGCTAGGCACATTTCTTCTCTGGTGGAATAACCGCCTAGGGTCGGCAGTTTGCGGTTTATAGTCGAGTAGGTGCATTCGGTGATTAGGCCGTCGCCCGGTAGAATTCTGACTTCGTGCGATAAGGTCCTGGCCTGTTGGTAGTTGAAGTCATAATTGTCATCCTGCAACAGAAACAATTGTGTGTAGATTGTTTGGTTGTATCAAATGGAAACAAACTCAGATTGCTCTGTTTGCTTCAAATGAAAAAAAAAACTCATTTTTACTCAAAAATGTTGTCCAATACATAAAAATTATCAAAGTCCTCGTGTGAGATCGAAGGGACTTCAGCGCATTTTTGTGTGGCAGATCAGTATTCTATTAGCCACTTTCGACTCAACCATCAATAACAGATCTTGTCGAAGGCTACTACATTCACTAACCGTTTCCCACTTTCCGCGTGCACCCGCAATTCGCTTTTAAAGTTAAAATCGGGTCGGGGGCTACCACATTCCCTTTGACGGTAGCCACTTCCGACGTCCCGTTCACCCGCTATTCACTTCTATTGGCGACACGAGAAAGAGAGACAGCGATTCGAGATTTACGAAACTTTAAACCGCGTGAGTTCGCAACGGAAGGTAAAAGGCGCCCGAAGTTGACTACTTCTCGGAGACGCGCGCGCGCCTCGCAAAAGGTCGTTAATTTCGCCCCTAGGACAAAAAACAAAATTCCGCCACGCAGGAGTTGTGCGCGTTTACAACATCTTTCCGCCGACACCAATTTGAAAAGAATCGGACCAAAACTGTAGTAGAAGATAGGAAAAAACTGAAAAACCTTCACGTTAGTATACTACGCTCGAGGATGACGCCCAGATGTCGCCAACCCCACATCATGTAGCCATGTCCCTAAGGTTGACAAATTTCACGGCCCTGTAGATACACGTAACCCGTTGCCTTTCTACAAGAGTTCTTCTACGCGCCCACATTTGCAGCCAGCCAGCCAGCCAAAGTGAGATTAAAAGCTACTTTTTACAAATAAATTTGCAAAAATGCGCTAAAAATGAATGCTACATACCTGAGCAATAGGTGCCAGCTCCTTATCCCCTCGAATATGCCTCAACTTCAACCTCCTGCCAGCCAAATGCGAATGCAACAAAACCGATACAACATTAACACCGTCTCTAGGCAGGACCTGTAAACACGCTAATCGCATAAGTAATTATAGCGCCTTAAGGCACCACAAACCTCACGCGTGCAATCCATACTGCAATATCCTCCTGATTTATACTCGAGCTGTTGGGGAGGAATAAGCTGTAGAGGCGATATTGTAACACCTGCTACCAAAAATCCACCTTCGTTCGGCCTTAATTTATGCGTGTAATGAAGTCGCAGTCCCGACGTATCCACAGCCCGTTTCATTGAAGGATTATCAAAATGGACCTCCAGCATGTAGTACGTCGGTGTCTTAGGCGCGAGCGGAAGTCCGACGTGTTTCGGTACGTTCTCACCTATTGACAAGTTCTGATCGGGTGGCGGATCGAATTACGATGGACTATTACCTTTTGATCCGACAGCCCAAGCGACTAGAGGCGTCAAGCATATTTCCCATTCATTGGGCATGTCCGGGCCGTAGCACGGACGCCCGGCGTCCTTAGCGTACTCCTCCCATTTCTTAATGTTGGGCACGTTGTATTGAATTTCGCACTCGTGCAGGATCATATGATGGATAAACGACGTGTGGTTGCCTCCAATTAACGGCTCGTAGCCTACAATGTGATGTTTCTGCTGAAGCGAGGGCGCTTTGAATATTTTACACCAATACGTCGTATCGTCTTTCACCTCGAACTGAAAATTGACCGGATTTTGTTATTCATGACACAAATCTGTCGAAGTGAAAAAAAAATCGCGCTGGATACGCTCTTAGCATAATATTTTCGACGAGGGCGCGTTTAAAGCAAATCCGGATTTGAATTAATGGGGCGTGGGGTTTTAAAAATGAAATGTAAATTAGGATGCGAATACAAAAAACTTACTTGCTTTAATGCCACGTCCCACTGCCGCACTTGGTACGAGTTATCTGATTTTGTAATACGCGGCGGGCTTAGCAAATGAATACTTTGCGTTCCTCTTCTTTCGCCGTGATAGACCATTTCTGCCCCTGTTGGGGGATCTTTATCGTGCAGTGCCCATATCATACGTATTGTGTGAGACTGAAATGAATGGCACGATGAGATACAGTTGACATAAAGCCTACCTGAATATGAAACACACACTTTTCAGGGACCTGTCTTATTTTTATATCAAATTACACGACAATCTAATTATAGCGTTTCAGATTGGTAGGTTGGAACGTTGTTTTCACCTATTTTAATATCTAGTCTACGACTAACCCAGTAGAATCTATCTTTCCAACTTCTCGGGGAGATGATCAGTGGAGAATGAGATTAATTATGTTAGAATTGTGGTGTAAGACCACAGCCTATTAAAAATAAATATGCTATTTCATTATAATCCTGGTGAAAAAGAAAATACCTCCTTCGTTATAAAATCAGTCCCAATTGAGGAACGATTTTAATTAAGAATTACGTAATTTCAAACGGTTGAACACTTGGGCTAAGGAACCCTTTAAAGCAGCGGTCCCAACTGGGTTCCGACCCACCTAAAAAATGTTTCAATCTTTATCACTTCCTATTTTTATGTTTGATACAGGGGCCATCAGGGCCCATTCAATAGTCGCTCGCGACCCATCATCCATAGTTTGGGATATACTGCTTTAAAGGGTTAATAAATCCACAAGAGTATTTAATTCCGTCATGGATGTAGTGGTTAAGTAATTACGTGCTTTCAAAACGGATAGGGGTTGAATTTTTATATTTATTTATTTAGGGCTGCTGAAGAATCCTCTAAAAGTACAATCAACCAAAAAATATAGTATTTGATCCCCTTACAATAAATAAGTGCTCAGGGATTTCAGAACCGAAGGGTGTCGAATTTCTACATCCATCTAATTTACCTCCAAAAGGAGAAATAAACCAGAGTACAACCTCTTGTAGAGGATAAGTGCTAAATAAGAAATGATTTTTATTAAAAATTGCGTAGTTCCGATACGGATAATAATACGAAATGTCTTTATCAGGCAATTAACAAAAAAAATACATAAGAATGTTAATAACTAATAGCCTAAGAAAGGAGCTCCATCAAGAATGAACTTCGGTACTATCCAAAAGGCCATAGCGATGTGCGCTATGACTAATATGTCAAAAAAGTAAAAAAAAAAGTTGACATCGCGCAATCTGCTAATGATTTTTACAATATGCGATATGTTTGCCTTTACTAGTAGCACCTGTATTAAAATTTCAACAATGTTTGTTCATATATAACAAAGTCAGCATTGAGCAGGAAGCACATGCGCACATTAATCGTTAAGATTCTTCTTGGGACAGATGCCAGAGCTATAAGATACCGAACTGAAAAAAAAAGAACTAAATAAGGAAAACTGTAGGAGTGGTTAAGGCCTCAGACGGACAGACCGACGGACGGAGCAAGTGACTGCAATAGCGCACCCAACTTTGTTGGAAAATGCGTTAAAAAATAACAACAAAATCTTGCGCATGCGACATTTCGTTTATGCTATATGCGATATGTTTGTTTTTACTAGAAGCAACAAAGTTGGCATTGTTCAGTCTGCGCATGCACACATCTGTTTTTTTACTATATGCGATATGTCTGCTTTTACTAGGAGAATCTATGGCTAAAATTTCAAACAAAATAAGAAAGTTATGAAAGTATATGCTCCCCTCAAAAATGTTACCTTTTTGAGTGATAAATAGGAAAGGATTTTCATTGAAAACTACATAATTTCAGAAGGGATGGGGTTGAATTTTTATTTAAGGTTCCTATTGAACCCCCTAAAAGGATAACCAATATAAATAAAGCTAATTGACCCCTTCAAGGGTGCCACTTCTTGTCTTGAATGTGTACTCTCAAAAGGATTGTCATTAAAAATTACGTACTCCAAACCTGAGGGGAGTTGAATTCTTTTTTCCGATTATTTTGGGTTGCCTAAAAGGCTAATCAATCAAAAATTATCTCATCTCCTAAAATGTGTCCCCCGTGCAAGAAATAAGTGCTCAGTAAGAAAAAATATTAAAATTTACGTAATTACAAAACGAGTGAGGGTTGAATTCTATCCATTTATTGGTTGATTGTGAAACATATAAAAGGATTTAAAAAAAAATTTGCTTTGGCTAGCATAGATTCCATCCGTATTTGATCCCTTAAAAAGTGCCATTCCTTGCAGTGAACAAGTGCTAAGAAAGAAAAGATTTTCACTGAACATTACTTATTTTCAAAACGCATGGGGGTCGAATTATTATTTCTATTAAAATAGGGTTGGTAGTTAGCCCTCTAAAAAGGTTATCAAAATAAAAATAATGGTACCTATTTGCTTCTCTAAAATGTGTCATACACTGCTGTGAGTAAGAAATGATTTTCATTAAAATTACAAAGCGGATGGGGGGGGGGGGTGCCTTCAACACATTTCATTATGCTAAAATGATAATCAATCTAAAATAGAGTATTTGATCCCCTGTGAGCGCATAAGTGCTAAATAAGAAAGGACTTTAGTAGAAAGTTACGTAATTTCAAAGCGAATGGGGGTATTTCTTATATCCATAGTTTAGGGTTCCCTCTAAAAAAATATGTAATATAAAAATTAAGGTAATCGACCCCTCCAAAGGAGCCAATACCTCTCGTACTAACGGGCTGGTGAAGAGTATTTGATCCCCTCAAAAATGTCATCCTTTGCATTATGTATTTATTTACAAAGCTAATGGGAGTTGAAATCTTGATAGTGAACTCTCTAAAAGGAAAATTTATCTAAAAATAGGGGAACTTGAACCCCTGAAAAGTGTCATCCCTTGCAGTGAACAAGTGGTAAGAAAGAAAATGTTTTCCCTGAGCATTGCGTATGTCCAGAACTAATGGGGGTTGAATTCTTATTTCTTATTTAAATGGGGTTCCTAGTTAACCATCTAAAAAGGTAGGTAATCATACTAAAAATAACAGTATGTGATCCTCTAAAATACACTGCTGTGAATAAGTGCTTAGTACGAAATGATTTTCACTAAAATTTATAAAAAAGAGGAGGGTTGAAGCCTTCAACACAGTTATCTAGGGGTGTTAGTAAACCATCTAAAATGATGAACTCTAAAAATAAACGTATATTCTCCCCTCTGAGTGGATAAGTAGTAAATAGGAAAGGATTTTCACTAAAATTTACATAATTACAAAAGAGAGGAGGGTTGAAGCCTTCAACGCATTTATTTAGGGGTGTTAGTAAACCATCTAAAATGATGAAATCTAAAAATAATCGTATATTCTCCCCTTTGAGTGGGTAAGTGGTAAATAGGAAAGAACTTTCATTGAAAGTTACATAATTTCAAAACGGATGGGGGTTGAATTATTATATCCATAATTTAGGGTTGCTATTGAACCTTCTAAAAGGATAATTGATATAAAAATAATGGGAATTGTCCTCTTCAAGGATGTTACCCCTTCCCTTGAAGGTGTACTCTCAAAGGAATTTTAAAAATTACGTACTTCTAAAACAACGGAGGGGGTTGAATTCTTTTTCAATTTATTTTTGGGTTGCTAGTAAACCCTCTGAAAGTATAACCAATGAAAAATTAAGAGTATGTGATTCCCCCAAATGTGTCACCCCCCTGCAGTAAATAAGTGCCCAGAAGGAAACATTTTCAATAAAATTTACGTAATTATAAAATGAGTGAGGGTTGAATTTTTCTATCCATTTATTTAGGGTTGCTTGTGAAACATCTAAAAGGATTAAACAATTTGAGTATTGGATCCCCATCGTTTGCAGTGAATAAGCGCTGAGTAAAAAAGACTGACACTAAACATTACGTATTTTTTAAACGTATGGAGGCTGAATTCGTACCTCCAATATTTCAGGTTGCCATCGATCTAAAAGAAAAATCACTATGGAGGGTGTTACATAAAAGTATATGTAAAAAATTGGATGATAGAGGGGATCAAAACAAGCACTTTTTCCAAATAAACCCAGGGTCCAACGTGTTCGTTTGGGACCCATCCTCAAAAACGTGGTAAAATTTGCATATCTTCTTTAATTTTTTTCGAGTTTTTTTCTCAGAAACCATAAGAGTTACAAAGACTCTTGGCACGTATTTCAATAGGTATGTCCTTTCCGATTTTGCAAAAAATGTTTCAAAATTCTTACCACGAAAGAGAGCACCCCTGAATGAGGGTGCGAAAAAATATTCTGATTTAGATGAAATTTGATATCTGGGGGTTTTTGGTGTTGTCGAATAGTTTTCTAAAATTACTTTTGAAATAAGAGTACTCAAAGTGTCCCCCGCCTACTATAGAGCCATCTTATTTCGCATGTATAGTTAGTTGAAAAGGTCGCAAATAACAAAAAATTAACGATTTATATTAGGTCGATATTATGATACTTGCAATAATAATAATATAATATAGACAAGAAACTAAGCAATTAAAAACAAAACCAAAAAGGACAAATAGATACTAAAATTATAAATTCCGATATGACGAATTCCGTGCTTATTTGTAAAAAAGTCCTCCAGATTTTAACTAAATTAAAACTTTACACATACAGGATGGCCCGTCCTTTATTTAGCGTTGCTAGTGAATTTTAGAAATGGATAAGTATTTTAAATATGAGAATATTTAATCACAACAAAAGCATCACCCCTTGCAGTGGTAAGTAAGAAAAGTTTTTGATGAAGAATCCCAAAATCGGTGGTTGAATTCTTATGTTCTTCTTAGTGTTTCTCAAAGGATAATCAATTTAGAAATAAGAATACCTTATCCTCCCCAGGGGTGTCACTTCTTCTAGAAGATGTGTAGCAAGAAAGGCTTGGGATTTGATAGACCTTTGTTGCTTTAAATTTCAATTGGAAACCATTAATTTCAAAATTTGGGGCAGCAAGACCGCACAAGAAATAATTTTTAAGCAGAGACCACGGAAAGAAATTTTATACTTGAAATGTTTAAACCATTAGAGGAATTTTTAATGGAACGGCAAACAATTTCCATAGAAAATTTAAAATCTACAGTTTTAAATTCTTTTTGGCGAGAAGGCTGTGCAAGGAATAGCCTAAAGTGCAATTTTAAAAACTGAAGAGTTAAAAATTGCACGAAAAACATAATAATCTCAAATTGGACGCTTAAAACTTGCGGCGTAATGACCGTCATAAAACCAATTTCAAGTAGAGGAAGAGAAAAGAGATTCAAACCTGAAGTTTGCAAGCAATTCACAACTGTAATCTATTCTTTTCAGTTGTAACTGTAAAAGCAATAATTTCAAGTAGATGCAGCTTAAAACTGCACAAAAATATTTCAAGTTGTGAATTGTGATTACAAAATAAAATTTCAAACCAAGTTTTTTAATATGGAACTTTAAATGCAACAGTTTCAAGTAGTGATTTTCAACTTTCAAGATGTTACTAAAATTTTCACTTGAAACTTTTAATTTTAATTTGTTGCCCCAAGTATGCACGAGAAAGAATTTCTTCATTTGGAAACTCTTAAAAACTACTTCATCTCAACAGACTTTTGAAGATACGTATTTCGTAGTGATTTCCTGTGTAAAAAATTAAAGTTCCGTCTTTCGAGACCGTTTCCTACTTCACGTGGTTTGGTTTGAATTAGATCCGTATCCAGACTAGTAAATGTTTACGAAACCACATGCTCCGGATATTTTTAAAGGAAATTACATAAATAAGTATCCATTAGCACATTTAAAATTAGCCGACATTCAAATCAATTTACGAACCCCCATTTCCGTCTGACCTTCCCTTTCGCAAATCTCGGTCGGTATATCATAATAGTAAACATACTCATTAGCGGCGCACGTGAAATTGATTGCGATTTTCCATTTCGGCATCAAATTTAAAACGTGAAAAATGAGAAATAAAATCATCTCCGATACGTACGTCAAGATTCTGAAACGTTAACAAAAAATATATCAAAAGCATGACGCCTACCTATACCTATACTGATTTCCCATGAGTATATATTTCCGGTCCCTTACAACGTCGATAAGAAGGATGACATTCTAATCTCTGCGGTACAATTAGAGATACTCACCCCTAACGTGTAATCATCCGAATCGCAGGTGTCAAGGGCTCTTCGAAACTCGATTATTGTATGGGTGCCATTCTGAATTCCGGCCATTAATCGGTAGTTGTTAATTTCGTCCCTTATCGGCGCGCTGCCCTGGTCCTTGCTGCCTCCGTGACAATCCTGAAAGATTTTCATAAATTTAAGGGAAAATGTGTGGTCGTGATTACGTATTCGTTTCATTAAAAAGTCAGCTTGTGGTAATTACGTTATATGCAAATGTCCGTAAGACAGGTGCTGGACGTGCGGGGATCTAATTTCCAGCAGGAACGTATAGTAAATGGAAAAACTATTTTAAAAATGCAACCCTTGTCTTCGGTTGCACTGCGGAAACAATTTCTGCATTTTTAGTTCGTTTGTGTAATCGTTTTGGTAATTAAACCAACACAAAACATTGTCTCTAGGGGAGTAAATACAAAATTATAAGGGGATCACGATTTAGAAAGCGAGGGGAGCGTTTGGCGGCAGGTGCATCCCTGTAGCAACCACCTAAAAAGTGCATTATTTCACAGGATATAACCAAATTCATGTAGGTAAAGATATGTTTAAAAACCAAATTGTTGTTTTTGTACCACCTAATGCTAGAAGCAGAATCAGCAGGTGATTTTAATTCAAAGTCGCCGCTTTGGACCTCCTCGGCGATGGACACACGAGGTGCCTCAGTTGAAGACCTCGTCAAGATCATGGCAGCGTTTTGTCGAGTCCAGCACGTCGGTTAACCCCTGGGGTAGTATTTCCCAAAAAAATCTCTAGAATTGATTTTCACCCACCCCTATACATGGGGTGAACATTTGGTTTTGCAGACTCAGACACTCTCACGTGGTCAGGAAACCGGCCACGCTTCAGTCCCTACCTGGGGGCTTACAGAACGGTACCCAACGATTCCCTACACGTAATTGTCCTCTTCATTTCCTTCTGCAGGAAATTTACTGTAACAGTATCCTACGCAGGACCGGCACCTGCACCTCGGCATTTTTCGCTTGCCAAATCTTAAAAGCATTTTATAACTCTTAGGCGCGCAACGGGGGCATTAGTATGGATATGATTTTTTTTTAATTTTCTCGTAGGAGTAATTTTTAAAGCTGTAAAAATGTCAAAGTTCAAACAAATCTTGTTCATGATAATCCAAAGAATTTATTTGGTTGATTGGAGTAAACGAAATATTAGTCATTCTTACGCAGGGGCTTTTGATCTTATTTGGTTTTCGTATCTAGATAGCAAGCGTAGAGATAGCATTACATCCCTTTTAAGAGGGATATACGAGGTGCGATCGGAATGAATCCGGAGTGATATTTCTTTGGATAGAAGAGGGCGCGCGGATCAGTATAGTTTACTACGAGTAGTGGGGAGTATTAATGAAGCGAGTTCGACAAGAGATCGCCCACGATTGAATTCTCTCCCGTGAAATGCACTCATACGTCACACGTCACCAGTAGTGTGCCAAGATTTGGCTCGAAACAACAACGCAAACCAATCGCAACCTCGACCTGGTTCCAAGTGAGTTTTTTGTTTTCCCGCTCAAAAGAGATGTGAAAGGACTCGATACCAGGGGTTGAAGACACTTCGACGAGGTGCCTGAACAGTGTTCTGATTGTAGAGTTTCAGGGAGCCTACGAAAAATGGAAAAAAACGCTGGCACTTGCCCAAGAGGCCTACTTTAAGGATGTCGTTGGTGATCCTTTCATTTTTGAGTCGTTCGGAATTGGTAAGAAAAAAGACACTAGGAAATAGCATTGCCATTTTATTATTTATTTATTATTATTTATTATCCCACTCTTGTTCTGGGCCCTCAACAGGATTGCCCCCAATTACAGAGTGACCCGCATAATGCTTTTTTAGAGATGCCTTGTTCTATACTACTCCGGTATTTACCTTACGAATTAGGAAAACTGCACGAAAACCTAATTCGGAGTAGCCGGCAGAATGTTTGAAACTGGTGTAAGGTAATTCCCATCTCTGCCACAGATGAAAAATTCTCCTCAACCCAGGTTCGAACACCCGACCTCCGGATTTATAGTCCAACGCTCTACCACTGAAGCCGGTATTTTGAAGTTCATTCGTCATTGTGGGCATACGAAATTTACTTAGTAAAAATAGGAGGACCATTCAGAGTTAGAATGAAGAGATAGATGAAGTCTCTCAGCCATCGGGGAGAGATTGGGGGATTTTAAGGGAATTTTAGAATTCTTTCGTAAGTTATTAATCTGAGAAATGGCGTTCTAATGAAGAATGTATTATAATTACTGAACAGTAAATTTAAAATTCTAAAAGTGACGAGTTGAAGCCCTAAATAAATAAAGGCCGCGGAAGCAAATGCGTGGACCGAGCCTATTCCTCATTACGCGTTAAAAAAACTGCGTCGGGTTCGTAGAATATTAAATTGTTGGGGGATGTTTAATAAAATAGTACATAAACGTGGGGAAATTATAACTAAAACTCGATAATTTCAATAATAAACTCAGTTTAACCTGGGCCATTGTTGGAGTCATAATTATAAGTAGAATTTGGGGCAAGTAATAATGTTCACTAAAAACTGAGTGTATGCAAATCAAGGTCTTAGAAATTATTTCCACTTACAAGGGAAATTAACCACCGCAATCGAGTCATTGTAATCAAGGAAAAAATTCCCTTTGGATTAATACCCATTACCAGATGAATTCGTTATCTGTAACAATTCTGTACATCTGTAACATATGTAACCTCTGCATCTGTAACATCTATAACATCTGTAGCATTTATAACATCGTTATCGTAACATCTGTAACATTTGTACTATAAAGCTGTAAGTAGATGCAAAGAATAAATCATTTCCAGGAAAGAAGAAACCTGTAGTCCAATGTTCTATTTATTTTTGTTAAAGTATTCAAATTAAACATTGAAATACCTTTAAGATTTACTGTAGAAAGAATTTGTATAAAATTTAACGTAAAGCTTTGCTTAATTAGATTAATTGAATCAATTATAAAATTATAAAACATAACATAATAACATAATGTAAGAATTGAAGAACCTATTGAATGTGATGTAGATTCAAGATTCATTTTTGTTCAAGAATTGTATTTTTATCCCGTAATTCCAATATTCCAATCAGCCTAATTCAAGGGTTCATTATTGCCCAGTTTGTATGTATATTGTCATTAAAAAATGAAGTGGCCATTTCATTTGAGATTACGTTAAAAGTTTCTAACAAAAAGTCTACGTTTACGTTCAGAATTTAAAAAATTTGTTAAACGAAGGGAAGTTTCAACAAAGACTCCTTAAATTCTTCAGGTGTTTTGAACCCGTCTACCTCTTCGGCAATTTTTTCCATTCTCCAATTTCACGCGTTTAAATCGATTAAAACCTACATATTTTTGAGAATGCTCGGATTTTTTTTCTTCCAACTTATGAAATTCTAAGGTTCTTAGAATTGTGTAGGTTCTTCAGGGTCAGAAAATTCTTCGGATTCTTCCAAGTGTTCGTATTATAGAAATTTCTCACATTTTTGGGTTTCGTCCTTCACTAGGAGTTTTTAACATTCTACGGACTTTTGGATTCTTCGTGTGCCGTACATTCCTCGTTTTCTTTTTCGTGTGCCTTCAATTATTCTCTCTCTTGATCAGTAAGCAACAAGTAACTAATAGAACAGTGAGTTTGTCTTTATTTTCCTTTAAGATAGATTTAATATAATTTTGAGACACCAAAAGTTATAACGATGTGTTAGGTACTTGATCTCTTCGATCTACCGCGAGACTGAAATTGCAATAAGCGAAGAAATGGAAGCAATCGGACGCAGTCGAAGAGAAGAAAGAAGGAATCTGTAGAAATGAAAAAAAAACTAGAGAATTGGAAGGCTTCGAAGAACACGTGGAATCTATAGAATAACAAAAATGAATAATACAAATAACCAAAAACTGAAGAATATCAAACATCCAATGAAATGGGAGACTTTAAAGAATACGAATACTGGAAGAGATCTCAATAGCTGTAGGATCGGAACAATAAGACTTGAAGGATCAGACAATTTGATACATCTGAACCAACTAAATGATCTCAAGAAATGTAAGAATCCAACGAATCTGAAGAATAGAAATTGCGCGAATGGAAAAATGGAGTAAAGGAAATCAGAAAATTCCGATTGTTTTCGAAGATATGCCAGAACAAAATAAAAAATAATTTTTTCTGGTGTTATTTGAGCAGATACAGAAAAAACCACTACCTCATTGCCATTTTTTAAGCTCTGCAAGACAGCCTTGAGTGACTTCTAAAACAACGTTTCGTTTCGGGGCAATCATCATCAATTTTATTTTTTATATGGCCTGCAAAAAAGTGCATCTTTACTTGAGTAGCATTTTTTATTAGGTATAGAATGATATACGGCATACACCAAAGAACAAAGGTTGAAAACTGTTGTTTTCAACAGGATGGTGCACCCGCGCACAATGCCCTAATCGTGCGAGAATACCTATCGGACAAATTTTGCATTTTCCAGAAAATTTGTTCAATAGAGATTCTCACACGGTTAGAGCAAACGAAACATTTTGAAAGTATTAATTTTGATCCCCTTTACAATCACTATCACTATGTATTTGTAGAGAATATTGGTTCCCAGTTTGGATCGTAAGGGCCGAATTTTCTGGTACTGCAAGCTGATTGCTTTCATCTGGCTGATTAATTACTCCAATACGACCTCTATCAGTGGACCGATTCAGTTTATATTCAAAGGTGAAACTCAATTTCTTTTCCAAAAAAGTGAAATGAAAGCCTAAGGGAGTAGCGTTTAACTCCTTTACATAGGAACAAAATGCAAGATTGTTCTTTTATTCCCAGTGGCTCTGTTTCCTTGTGAGATAAGACCTTACACCTTATGCTTACTGTATGCAAAATGCGCGATTTTCGTCCAAAACCAACCCCCGAAAAAAAGGAGCAACGGAAACACGCATTTCGCAGTCACAAATCGTCATCCCAACTTTTTTGTCAGCGTATCATGTAATGTAAACGAATCAATCCCTTCGCGTTACGCGATCGCCGGGGAAATTTCAATAACGATTCGAGCAGACAGATGGCTTTCAGATTCAAAGCTCGTGTCGATATCGTTAGGGACGCCAACGGAAACATCTGCGCCTTATGTTACACACGCTCTA